AGCGTGTCGGGGAGGCGGTTAAAATTGTGAAGGCGATCGAGGGAATTCGGGTATTGCAGTCAAACGAACGGTGAAAATAGATGTGAAATGACGTTCGTTCACTCGCGATTTGAAGCATAGCCGATCGGTTCGAGTTGGGGGGTCAGGTTTAAAAACAAATTGGTCGATTGATTCCATAAAACGGTCTCCATCCTTTTCAGGGACTCTACTGTACATTGGCGCACAACAACAACTGTAATATACAAGGTAAAAAACGCGTCACAACTTACACGAAAAAAAAAGTAACCAGCATCAACGCGGCACGCACCACGTGAAGTCTCTTATCTTGCACAATATATTTCTCGGCTGTTTACCCAAATTCCAATCAAAGGCGCTGGTGTGTTGAAAGGGCCACTCAAACTCCGCGTTCATAGACGAGGGGGTGCCTTTCTCCTCTCCCTCGCACACGCGATGCATCTCCCTTGCCCTTGAAGTCAATGACATCTCTCAGAGGACAGCGTAATTAAACAAAGAGTTTGAGAGCCAGACCGGGTACACTATATAGTGGCTCAATTTTTTCCAAATTTCTGAGACTGAGATCATGACTTCTCTAACTGGGTTCCGCAAGAGTTATGGGTTCCATGATGGACGTCTCAAGGTTCTACAATCGGTTGAACCGAGTGCAACCCTTCGCTGTTTCACCCCCACTAGAAGCTATTTTATTTAGAGACAAGGAAGTTTGCGCTTCATTTTGCTGCCACCAAAGCCATCGCACACCGGATACACAAGTCGGGCCTCGGAGGGCTGTGAGAGACTCCCATGAATCACTGAAGGTTCGTGGCCTAATACGCACCATGAAGCTGTCACGATCTGTGGATCTGTGGCGACTGAACATGCGGAGCTTTGGTAAGTCATACACGTGAACGTTAAACCGCGTGTAACCACATGGGCACCTAATAGGCGCTTTATTCGTGGCTCATGGAACGGCGGCGATTAGGTGGCACACATGTACGGTGATTTACCAGTGTTCGATGTCTGTTATGTTTCGAAACACGAATTTAGGCTTCGCTTTACCATCGGTGTATTCGTCGACAGCCGTTTCGCTGTGCGACTGGCACCGTTTCTTTAATTCGGCGAAAGGTAAAAGAGGCCTCTGCACGACCGGAACTTCGTTGGCGTCAACACATTCGCTGTGCGTTGTCTAAAGCCTGCCGCTGTGTGTGGGTGGGCGACTCGCGAACAGGCACCGGGGGAAGATAGGAAAAATGCCACCCTCTCCTTTCTTCCCCGCTTCTGATTGTCCTCATGCTCAAGAAAAGGTTAGGGGTTATGCGGCACACTTGATAGAAAAGGAAAGCGGTTGGGGCGACCCAAGGCCACAATGGCCGTCTGCCCGAAACAAATCGTCCCCCCCCCCCACACGACTCTGGGGGGGAGGAAGTGCCGGGACAGACGTAGGATGATGATGGGTTGATGAGTTAAGTGTGACTCTGGGACAAAGCGCTTCGGCGCCGCGTCTCCTTCCTATCTGACAACGGCACGACGTCTGAGAACCCATCATTCAGTCAATCGAACGCCTCAGTAAAACTAGTAAGGTCACCCACAGTTAGTTGTTGTTTTTATCCTCACGCTTTCGTAGCTATAGTACTGTCGTTGGTTAATCAGTGCAAACTCAGAGAAGCGTTTCATACTTGAAACACCACATTGAGCTTTTGTTAGGATGGGTTTATATCGGAGAAACTAAAGTCCTTTTAAAGCATTAATTTTACAGTGGAATCAGCCGTGCTATCAGCATCTTAAATTGAAATGCACCTGACGATGCAGAAAGATATGTGCACCGAAACTGCCACAATAAAATCAATTGCGTACTTCCTGTGCTCACTCACTTTGTATACCACCAACGTCCCGGCTCCACGAATACTTTAGAACCACGAATACAAAGCACACGTCGTCCCTATCTGTGGCTTCTAAAAAAATAGTGTGCGCAAAGCCCAACGTACCAGTAAATGGGCTTCGCGCTAACCTGCACTAAATGTGAAATGAAGACATTTGCCATGTCCCCACCAGTAATGATCATCTCGTGGCCAATAATGTTACCGACTGGCGCTCTCCTTCCATGGCTGTTTAACAAATAATTTTATTGATTACATAAAAGATGTCGCTGTCCAGAGAACCTAAAAAACGATCCCAATTAATAGCACTCTTTGGCCTTCCGCAATTTGTCGTTAAGCTTGCTCTTGAATTTCTTAAATGCAATTAGGTAGACCTCACTGTGCATTTTAACGTTAAACACTAGGTATTTCGGTTTCATCTTGTTTTGCAGGAGGTTGCGGCTAATCCGTGGCTACGCAAGCGCTATGCAGGTTTATAATTTTATCAATAGAAGAAAGTGCATTGTTTTTTTTTTCTTTTGTAAGCATAAATGCACCTACAAAAAATCACACGCTACAGCACTCATTAGAATATGAGGCAAGAAGTGATTCTTAAATGAGAGAAAAGAAGATAAATGTGAGCCCTGTAACTGTCTGCATAATAGTGCGACACCTCAACAGTGGCGTGACGATATTTATAGCGCGAGAGCAAGACGACGACACAGAGACAAGAAGGACACGAAAGACACGTGTCCTTCTTGTCTCTGTGTCGTCGTCTTTTTCTCGCGCTATAAATATCGTCATGCCATACCAACTAGCCCAAGCTGCCACACTCAACAGTGGCTCATGGGGGATGGGGATAAGGATGGATTAAAAGGGATAGGGATAGAGATAGAGACAGGGACAGAGAGACCCACGTACAGAAGTAGGGAGAAGATAGGAAAGATGAACACGGTCGAGCAAGTCCGAGGACGGGGCACCGCTCTCAGCGACAGCTTCACGGCGTCAGCAGATGGCGGAGGGCGAACCAGTCGGCCAGAGCTGCGCTGGCGTCGGACATTGCGTGCGGCGGCACAACCGTTAGGCACGGAATCCCGCAAGCGCCATCCTTTATTTTTCGCACACTACCGAATGCCATGTCGGGTCACCTCTCTTCCTTCGAGAAGAAACTGGTGGTTCTGCGCCGGCTACCCTTCGAGGCGGCGGTGTTCAGGGGAGGAAGGACACGGAAAAAGACGGGAAATAGAGGAAAGGAGGTAAAGAGAGGGGTGCAGCGTCCCTGTCATGCGGGTACAGCCAGTTCTCTACGCCTTTATTGCCACCGCTTCAAAGTCCTGTGTTCCTCCTCCTCACCAAACGGCTTCATTACGTAGGGAGAGCCTATCGCAGCGCCCCCTTTAGGTGTACGCACGGATGGCGCTGCCCCACAGGGACCAAGTGCGCGGTGTTCCCTAGGTCGAATGTTTCGACCTTTGACGTATCAGAATCCGCTCTGCGGTAGTCCAGTGTCGCGTACACAGTATACCTTGTCCAGCTTTTCCCTGGAACCACTTCTCTGCCGTAGGGACTGGGGAAGAATAGCTTCAGCTACAGGAGCTGCTAATTACGATGCTGCAGTTGAAAGTGCTCTTGACCTGCGAATGATCGTCACTCCTCGTCTTCTCTCGGGCGAGTGTTGATCGTGTCCTAGCAAACTTCATTTGCCACAGCCCCGTCTTCCTCGATGGATCTTCGTGGAGTCAACCAACTTCCAAGGTATGCATCTCAATTTTTTTTTTTTTTGCGTTTCCTTCTGATTTATTGACGCAAATATTTTCAGCACATTCGACTTGCGGTTACAGATGCTCCTCTAGCGGCTCCGGTGTTTGTACAACTGCCATACCTGGTAGCTTTATATGAAGTACCCGATTTTGAGTTTACTTACTACCATCGTAGTGCAGCAGTTGTTTCTTTTTTACGATTTCTTTGTATTTCTGTCCGCTCTTGCGCATGACTTTTCGCTTTTCGCAAGTTTCAGTCGCAGTTTGGTTTTTCGATACCCGATTCTTCCAATCCGTCGACGATGCGAACCTAAAACGACGCGTCTACTTATTCAACAACGAGCTTTCGTTTCCCCGCTCACTCCATTTTTGAAGTTGCATGAGATGTGTCTTCGGGAGAGGCTACGTAACATAAATGACCTGCAACGTAACTCTTCACTTTGTTAGTACTATGAGCCTGCGTTGTCATAATTAGTTTAAATGTCTTGGAAACATTCGATACGTGGGGTTTAACGTCCCAAAACCACCGTATTATTGTAAGAGAAGCGATAGTGGAGGACTCCGGAAATTTCGACCACCTGGGGTTCTTTAGCGTGCACCGAAATTTGAGCACACTGGCTAACATAATTTTCGCATTCATCGAAAATGCAGCCGCCGCAGGCCGGATTCAATCCCACGACCTGCGGGTCAGCAGCCGAGTACCTAAGCCACTAGACCACCGCGGTGGGGCTGTCTTGGAAACACTGCAGGATTTTTTTTTCTTAAGTGACTTCTTGAATTGGTCATTATTGCAGCTGTAGATAGCCTGCATGCTCATCTCGTATTGCATGTTTGGCCCCTTCTTTTATCAATGACCTTTTGCGTGGTGCAGTGAACGACTTCGCCTTTTAATAGGCCACGGATACGTGCTAAAACCTACGGCTGAAACCGGAGTGCTATCTAAAGCGAACTAAGATGCAGGGATGGCTTTCTGAGTAGGGTACAAAGTTGAAATTACCACTTTTGATTGATTTTTTGTTACTTTTTGTGATCTTCATGCGAAAGTATAACAGCAATTACTTTGCCGAGCACAAGAGCGGTATATTGTAGAGAGCGTCTTTGGCGACGCTACTGCCGCTACCGACTTTTCATAGTCCAGCCAGTGGTCAAAGCAACGGTCTGCCCCACGTTATCGAAATTTTCAGACGTCTGCGAGTGGTAGATGAAATGACCAGAATAGAATATGGCATCTCTCATCGCTACGAAATACAGGCCGCGTGAGATCGTATCGAAGTGTATGTGCAAATCGTGGCGCAAGATGCCCAGGATAAAGTTTGAACTTTATCATTTTTCAACATTGCTGCTTGTTCGTTTACGAGAGCCTGTTCTCATTGTATTTTTCTCATTGTAGTGCGCACCTGCCCATCCGGAAGCGGATTACCTTGCGAATCCAGGAGAGTGCCGATGTGCTCGAGGAGTGGGGACTCGCTGGTGAAGTCGTCGTCAATGGTACGTGCGAGACCTTCTCAATTACTTGTCAAGCGCAAGGTTAATTGTACAAGTTCTTATTTTATTAAATTATCCTACCTCTTTCATTGTTGCGAATCGCATCATGGGACTGCAGTGAGACTCCTTACCGACGACACCTTGCATGATTGAGTGCCGGCGAGATCCGTTTTAACCTACTATTTACATGATTTCTAAATACTTTCGGAGTGTTTCTCTAAATAAAAGGCCTGGTGTAGGACAGTATTGTGGTGTCTGGGAACGCACTGAATATATTTTATTTACTGCAGCTACCCTAAACAAACTTTTGGTTTCGTTATTGAGGGGGTGCCTTGTCAGTGGCTTGCCGGTGCAGTGTGAGGTCACTAGAAGACGGCCACTGGCAACGTGGTAAACTTGTCATCTGTTAGTGGTGCACGTAAACAACGATGAGCCTGAAAGTGAATTTGCGATTTAGGCTGAATGCAGGACGCGGAGCTCGCAAACTCAGTAACTGTCTCAAATCATCGGGATTTCTACATCGAAATGGAGATATAGCTTGCAGATGCTCTGTGACGAAAAGTTTAAAATCGCAATAAATTATTTTACACTTGTTGTCAAATTCTGACGTCTGGAGAGCGTCGACACTCCATACCAAGGAAACAAACAATGTTCCTTTTGCGAGGCCTTCAAATTCGGGGCAGTACTCCTTTTAATAAGAGTTCATTAAGCTCACCGCAACTGTTTCTCTTTAACGTGAACAAGATATACAGACGTCGTTGGTTCGACTATCGTGGTGGTCTCATTTCGGTGGAGCTTGTCCTGTGCTGTATACGGGCTCTTTCAATGCCCTCTGTTGAATAGGCACTCTGCAGTCGCCTTTGATTATGAACGCTTACCTTGAAATATTACTTATATCTGTTGCGCAGATGTGGCAATTTCGCTGTATACATGGCTGATTCCTGACTGATTGTGCAGCATCCCCATATACATTGATTAATTGATTTTTTCTCTCCCGTAGAAGCAGCAGAAGCGGTGGTGGAGGTGAAGGCGGCAGTTGAACGGAACACCTGTCAATACTGCTCGAAGCGGTTCAACTCGTCCAGCAAGCACAGGTTGCACGAGTTGCGACACCGCAGCAAACTTGACGGCCGCTACCGGTGCATCAAGTGCGGCAAGTGTTTCGTGCAGAACTCTTCCCTGATGACGCACGTGCGCAGCCACACGGGAGAGCGTCCCTACCACTGCAAGGTGTGCGGTGCCGACTTCGGCGACGTCTCCTGCTACAACAAGCACAAGCGCACACACACCGGCGACCGACCGTACAACTGCTTCGGCTGCGCCAAGGCGTTCACCCAGTCCGGCAACCTGTACCGGCATATGCGCATTTGCGCCAAAGTCAAAAATATGGCACCAAATCTTGCATGAAAAAAAGGACTCGCGGCCTCATGCACCTTGTATTCCGTCCGGCCATCCGCTCCACAACTTATTTCCGGTGGTTGTTGTTGTTATTGATCTACGTTTATGTAACTAATAAAATTGCTACGAACAGAAAACAGGTGTCGGCGAATCTACGTTTATGCAAACAATAAAATCGCTACGAACGGAAAACAGGTGTTATCGATTATCTTTGGCCAATCTAGTGAAGCGAAAAAGGAAAGTGCGAAGGTACAAGCCTCGTACTTCTATTCGTTGCGCAACCACTGACTGCACAATTTGATAGCAAGGAAAATTCCAATCATAAGCCCCTGCAACTGCTGGCATCAGTGGCCAATGGCTGCTGCAAACTCGACTGGACCAAACCTTTTTGGCTTCTTAGCTCTTATAGCATGTTAAGTATTGTTTTTGCCGTCCTGGCTTCTTTTATTTTGCGAAAAGCTGACGAATCCAGCTCATATCACTTTATAGAGCACAAATTTGCAGCTTCATCACCCGCACTGTACACTATTCAATGATTCAATAATGCTCTGCTACTTTTTAGTGCAGGGGAGCGTGTAAAATATGGTGCCTGGAGGCAATGTACGCCGATGTTCGATAGCGTTTACTGCAACAGAAACGCATATCGTGTTCAGATAGGAATAATTTAGCAGCATCTTCTTCACTTGTTCAAGCAGCGTGGCACCTATGCGTTCGTTATGGCCATTTATGAGATTGCAAATGCCGGTGACAGGGGTTCAGACCTAAATATATGCGCTGTTTTAAAACAATCGACTTGGAAGACACAAGGTGAACAGTATACGAGACAAAGCGACTACGACGTGTACCAACTATAGCCCCATTGATCGTCTTACTGACGTTGAAACCGATCTTGGTAAAAGTACTGAGCGTGGAAGTTTACATATTTTGGTTTACTGAAAACGCCCTACCACAGCCCCACTACCCCCCAAATCGATTCCCGGATAAACCAAGTCGGGCTTGCAGGAAGTAACTCGACCGAATATGTTTGAATGCCGAAGTCCACGAGGAGCACACCTCCTATCTATTATCAAGCTCTGGTTGACGATGTAGACCACTGTAAATTTTCTTAAGAAAACAAGGAATCATATTGTCACCAATCTTGTCACCAATCTTGTCTTACTCAAGGAAACCTTCCGCAGAACTGCTCGTCAAGCTAGGGAAAACAAAAGCGGCCCAGTCCCAACTTCTTCGTCCTCTTCCACACGAAAACCACGCGAATTCATGCGGCATTAGTCCCCCCTTTTAAAAAGCATCGACTCGATGCTTCTAAATAAAAGAAGAAGAAAAAAAAAACCCATAATTAGAACACGCGTTGACGCAGAGAATCACAAAGTGAGTGCCAGGGAAAACAAAGAGGGCGCACAAGCACTTGGACCATGCGCGAACACAACAGCACCAGTGGAAGAGTCAAGAAGAAAAAAAAAACACCACATGAGATCACTGTCACGTTTGCGAAGTAACTCGCAAGCACAGAGACTATTGTGTGTAGTACGGCTTGAGTCGTACGACATGCACAGTTTCGGGCCGATGTTGTCGACGTGACGACACTGTGCCGTCCGGAAGTACTTCGTATGTAAGGTCACTCACACGTCGGATAACCTTGTATGGTCCGAAATAACGGCTCAGAAGCTTTTCAGACAAGCCTGGTCGTCGGACAGGAGTCCACACCCACACTCGTTCACCCGGGTGGTATGCGACGTTTCGACGGCGAAGGTTGTAACGTCGTGCATCTGCGTCTTGTTGGTGACCGATGTTCACGCGAGCCAGTTGACGAGCCTCTTCGGCGTACTGCGTGTATTGCTCGGCTTCTGGAGAAAGAGCATCGCTATTATCGTACGGCAGCATAGCGTCAAGCATCGTTTGTACGTTGCGTCCATAAACAAGGTGGAAAGGTGAAAATCGGGTTGTTTCCTGCATTGCCGTATTGTATGCGAACGTGACGTATGGGAGGATATCGTCCCAGGTTTTCTGCTGCACGTCCACGTACATTGACAGCATGTCCGCTATGGTCTTGTTGAGCCTTTCCGTCAGTCCATTACTTTGTGGGTGGTAAGCCGTTGTTTTTCGGTGACTCGTGCAGCTCAGTCTGAAAATGTCCTCTAGCATTTGTGCCGTAAATGATGTTCCTCTATCCGTAATCACACATGACGGCGCGCCGTGCCGGAGGACGATGTGCTGCACGAAGAACTTCGCCACTTCAGACGCCGTGCCGCGGGGTAATGCCTTTGTCTCAGCATACCGGGTCAAGTAATCGGTTGCCACTATAATCCATTTGTTACCAGTGGCCGACAAAGGGAAGGGTCCTAGAAGGTCCATTCCCACGAGGTCGAAAGGTGTCCGTGGTGGTGTAATAGGGTGGAGAAGGCCCGCAGGTTTCACGGGTGGCGTCTTGCGACGCTGGCACTCGCGGCAGCCTTGCACGTAGCGGTGTACACTGGTCGAAAGTCGTGGCCAATAGTACTGCTGGCGCACTCTGGCGAGAGTCCGCGAGTAGCCCAAGTGTCCCGACGTGGGCTCGTCGTGGCACGCGAGTAGGATGTCATCCCGCATGTCGGCTGGTACAACGAGGAGGAAGGCTTTGTTGCTACCTCGAGCATTTTTCTTGTAAAGAATGCCCCTCCTTAGACAAAAGGATGACAATTCGCGAGCGATGCGCCGAGGAGTGTGAGAATTTCGGCCTTCTAAGGAATCAATAATAGGGCGCAATTCCTGATCGGCTCTCTGTCTAGACATAAAGTCAGAATCACTGAGGGCTCCGAGAAAACCATCAGCATATTCCGAGTCCATATCAGGATGTCCCACGGGTGCTCGAGAAAGTGCGTCGGCATCTTCGTGCTTGCGCCCAGACCTATACACAATCATGATGTCGAACTCTTGTAAGCGTAAACTCCACCGAGCGAGACGACCAGACGGATCACGGAGATTGGCCAGCCAACACAGCGAATGGTGATCGGTCACCACCTTGAAGGAACGGCCGTAGAGGTAAGGTCGAAACTTTGCCGTTGCCCACACGACTGCGAGGCATTCCTTCTCTGAAGTGGAGTAGTTGGCCTCGGCTCGAGAGAGAGTACGACTGGCGTAAGCTATGACATGTTCTACGCCGTTGTGCCGTTGTACAAGGACAGCGCCAAGTCCGACGTTGCTTGCATCCGTGTGAACTTCGGTATCAGCGTCCTCATCAAAATACGCAAGAACAGGTGCCTCTTGCATTCGCTGCCGTAACTCTGTGAAAGCTGCTTCTTGCTCTGTAGTCCAGGCAAACGGTACATCATCTCGGGTGAGTCGCGTGAGCGGTTCGGCTATCGTCGAGAAGTTGGTAATGAATCGGCGATAATAAGCACACAAGCCGAGAAAACGCCGCACCGCTTTTTTGTCTGACGGCACAGGAAAGGTGGCGACTGCTGCAGTTTTTTCTGGGTCAGGCCGCACTCCATCCGCACTCACAACATGTCCCAAAAATTTCAGCTCATCGTAGCCGAAATGGCACTTCTGGGGTTTTAGCGTGAGTTCGGCCGAACGAATAGCTTCCAGAACCATTCTTAGACGCTTCAGATGTTCTTCGAAACTCTCGGCAAAGATGACCACATCATCAAGGTATACAAGGCAGCTTTGCCACTTCAAGCCAGCGAGAACGGTATCCATCATTCGCTGGAATGTTGCGGGAGCCGAACAGAGGCCGAAAGGAAGAACTCTGAATTCATAAAGCCCATCGGGAGTTACAAACGCTGTCTTCTCTCTGTCTCGCTCATCGACCTCTATCTGCCAATAGCCGCTCTTCAAATCTATCGATGAAAAATACTTCGCGTGTCGTAGCCTGTCGAGAGAATCATCAACCCGTGGGAGCGGGTAGACGTCTTTTTTTGTGACGCTATTGAGTTTCCTGTAGTCAACACAGAATCGCAGCGTTCCGTCTTTCTTCTTTACTAGAACGACTGGCGAGGACCACGGGCTGCTCGACGGTTGTATCACCCCGTCGTCAAGCATCTCCTTTACCTGCGTCTGTATAGTCTCGCGTTCTTTAGCCGAAACACGGTAAGGTTGCTGGCGGATTGGGCGAACATCATCGTCGGTAATAATTCGGTGCTTTATGAGGGGTGTTTGACCGACTCTAGATGAAGAGGCGAAGCAAGATTTAAATTCCTTCAGCAGGGTATGCAGTGCGGCCTTCTTCTCGTCCGAAAGCTTCGAACTGACGTCGATGTGGTCCAGAAACTTATCTCCATCAACCATTTCCTCGGATGCGAAGCACTCGGTGACATCCGCTACACGGTCTCCGAAGGCCACGGTGGTGCCGCGGAAAAGATGTCGGTGCTCGAAGTTAAAATTTGTGACGAGTATCTGCGACCGTCCGTCACGCACACGCAGAATGCTTCGCACTGCACACACACCTTGAAGCAGTAAAAGGGATACGTTGCTCTCGGCGACCACGTCACCGTCTTGGAGGTCTTCACAGGTGACTTCTACGAAAGCAGTCGCTCGGGGAGGCAACGTCACGCTTTCGTCGGCAACACGCAGCGCAGGTCTACGACAGCTATCAGCGCCTCGATCGGTTGCAAGTTGCGTCGAGAAAGTCACCATTCGCTCGCGGAGATTTATGATCGCGCCATTCTCTCGAAGGAAGTCCATTCCAAGGATGAGCTGACGAGAACAGTCGCGTAGTACGAGGCAGGTTACCACAAACGTTGACTCGCGTATTTCCACTCTTGCGGTACAGCGACCCAATGGAGTAATAACGTGGCCTCCAGCAGTGCGAATACGCGTCCCATTCCAAGGTGTCATCACTTTCTTAAGACTGGTTGCCAATTTTCCGCTCATAATAGAATAATCTGCACCTGTGTCCACCAATGCGCTAACCTGAAGACCGTCTATCAGCACGGGAATGTCGAGTGAGACTCGGCCACTGGGTTCAGACGCACAATCCGGCATTTCTCTCGCACTGCACTCAGACGTCAATTCAATGTCTGCAGCGT